CATGAAAGACCAAACTCCTACAGTGTAGACCTTGCTAATATGTCATTCATCCCAATAGATTGCTTCCTTTGCCTAAATTTTTGCTTGGTCATGACTTTTATACTGTGCAAAATGCATTATCATTTAGACTAGTCGGCTATAGGTGAAATAGCAGAAATACATGTAAGATTCTTTTAAAAATAGTGGCCTCAGAAACTAGAGGAGATTTAGAGAAGGCAGAGTTTTATTTTTAGTTCCGGATTTACTCTAACAAGCTTAAATCTTCACGGAAGTTCTATTGACATGAAATTCATTGTATCATTACCACAATTCTAGTATCATCATGTTCTTTCTCTGCATAGAACTGCCAAGTGCATTGACTTTAAAATGATGTGAATGATTCTTGATCCATACAGAATGGGCTGTGACTTAAAGTAAATAAACATGTTTATGGTTCCCATTAACACGATGTAGTACAGGGAAACACATAGTAAATCTAAGAACATTGACAAAATACATAGTGAAAGACTGCACAGTGTGTAGATTATCTCAAAGGCTTGCTTCAGGAACTGACAATAAAATCCTAAATTTGCATTTTATTTTCATATAATCTATTATTGTCACTTTACATTTAAAAACACGCTGATGAGTCTTGGTTACTAGAGCTCTTGCCTAGCATGCATAAAGACCTGTTATTGGCCATTAATCCTAACAGATGGAAGGCAAAAGTTGGAGGATCAGAAGTTCAAAACCACCTCAGCTACATAATGGGGTATAGGATAACCTGGATTGCATGAGACTTGTGTCAAGTAAAGTAACTTGAGGACTGCAGTTGGGTCCTCTGAATCCATGTGTAGGAGTAGGAGTGGAAGCCTATCGATTGTGATTCCAATGTTTAGGAAGTAGTCATGGGATACCCAGAGCAAGCCGGTTAGTTAGACTAGCTCTGGGCTCAAGTGGGAGACTCTCTCCGAGTATAAGGTGAATCATTGACACACACACACACACACACACACACACACCCTACATGTACATGTGAGGAACAAAAGGAAACAGAGTCAGTGAGATAGTTCAGTGCTGCCTGAGCAGCACTCAATTTGTTCACTCAAACCCACAGCGGAAATATTGCCAAGTGCCAAAAGTTGTCCTCTCATGTTCATGAGTTTGCCCACACTTACGTACCATACATACACACAAGAGATAGAAAAAAATAAAAATAGCCTCGCATTTTAAATCATGAGGATGGACATTCCTGTAATGCACAGGCCCTGGATACAGTCTCCGACTGTCACAAACTCCCAAACAACTGCTTTCACTGACAGGATGGCACTTGCCTGTCTGTAGTCCCACCACACAGGCAGCGGAAGGATGAAGAGTTCAAACCCTTGTCCCCAAAAGTAGCAATAAAGTGAGATTAAGAACCCAGGAGCCAAAGAAAAATTAATGCTCCATGGTGGTTTGAAAGAAAAGGACCCCCACAGGGAGGGGCACTATTGGGAGGTGTGGCCTTGTTGGGGGAAGTATGTCACTGTGGGGGTGGGCTGTGAGGTCTCTTATGCTCAAGCTATGCCTAGTGACACAGTTCACCTCCTGTTGCCTGAGGATGGAGATGTAGAGCTCTCAGCTCCTTTTCCAGCATCATGTCTGCCTGCACACTCCTTATCTTGCTCTGATGATAATGGACTAAGCCTCTGAAACCTCAAGCCAGTTAAATGTTTTCCCTTGTAAGCATTGCTGCGGTCATGGTGTCTCTTCATAGCAATAGAAAACCCTGACTAAGACACCTTCTAAAGGTTATTAAATAAGTACAACAAAGACAAATTCTTTCTGCTCTTTCTTTAGCAGGGGCTCACTCTGTAGCCTAGGCTGGCCTCAAATTCAGACACCTCCTGCCTCTGCCTCCCAAGTGACAGGATTGTAGATGTTTATCACCAAACAAGGCAGCCAAAGAGACAAATTTCAGTCATCTAACACCAAGCCAAGTGTGCAGTTTGTTGAAATGACTTGCCTCTAAAGTTGGTGTTTCTAGATAGCTGTGTTCTATTCATATTTTTTTGTGGGGACACCAGACCTTGAGCAGAAACCCACTTCCCCTTCGGCCTGGGAGCAGGCATCTGTGTAATGTTTACTGAAAACAATTTAGTGCTTTAAAGCTCTTCATAGGGCTGAGATAAGGGCTTGTTCACTGAAATACCATGTCTTTTACACCTCCTATGGCTAGATGCCTCTTCCTGTTTTTCTGTGGTGTCTCCCCGATTTTGGGGCCGGAGATTAGACCACCAGCCAGGAGGAAAGAATGGTATGTAGATGAATGGCAGAAGTCCTTAAAAAGGGAAGCTCCTTTTTTAGAGAGAGACTTCTCCTGAGACTTTTTTTGAGAGCTCTCCTAAGCGGACTGGGGTCTCCTCCTAAGCTGACTTGGGAAACATAAAGTTTTTTTAAAGCAACCGACCGGTCTCTGTGTCATCTATCCCGACCACCTCGCTACATTTTTGGATGTAGGCCGCACAGCAGGTGTGACAATTGGAGGTCCCACCGAGATCATGAAAGCGAGGTAAGTGAGCCGGTTCATCTCTTTTTCTGGCCAGGGACAGATTGGGGAAAAAAAGAAAAGAAACCATGGGGAATAGTTCTGGGAAGCTCAAATTACAGTATCAAGTTAAAAAGTTACTTAAAGGACATGGGACTACAGTAAAGTCTAAAACCTTGGAAGGCTTTTTAAAATGGATTGAACGTGCGAGTCCATGGTTCATTACTGGGGGAGACTTAAATGTCCCAGATTGGAAGGATGTTCACTATGATCTTTAGAGTCGGGTGTTGGTGGCATATGCCTTTAATCCCAACACTCGAGAGACAAAGGTAGGTAGGATGGAGGCCATCCTTGTATATAGAGCGAGTTCCAGGACAGCCTCCAAAAGGATAGAGAGAAACTCAGTTTAAAAAAAAAGGAGGGTAAAATAAGAAATAAAATAAAAAATCTCCAGTCTTTCACCTGATCCACTGAGGTCAGGAAAGTAAAGGAAAACTCAGAGATCTAAAAGGATAGCCAACAAGTAAGGCTATAAGTATGTATTAAAAAGGGGTTCAAGGTCCCCCAAAGACGGGCCAGGGAGGGTGACCCTACTTAACATAAGACAAGAGTGCCTCATTTAAAAATAAAAAGAGGTAAATTGTGGGGACACCAGACCTTGAGCAGAAACCCACTTCCCCTTTGGCCTGGGAGCAGGCATCTGTGTAATGTTTACTGAAAACAATTCAGTGCTTTAAAGCTCTTCATAGGGCTGAGATAAGGGCTTGCTCACTGAAATACCATGCCTTTCACACCTCCTACGGCTAGATGCCTCTTCCTGTTTACCTGTGGTGTCTCCCCGATTCTGGGGCCGGAGATTAGACCACCAGCCAGGAGGAAAGAATGGTATGTAGATGAATGGCAGAAGTCCTTAAAAAAGGGAAGCTCCTTTTTCAGAGAGAGACTTCTCCTGAGACTTCTCCTGAGAGCTCTCCTAAGCGGACTGGGGTCTCCTCCTAAGCTGACTTGGGAAACATAAAGTTTTCTTAAAGCAACCGACCGGTCTCTGTGTCATCTATCCCGACCACCTCGCTACATTCTTGGATGCAGGCCGCACAGCAGGTGCGACATTTTGTTTTTTGTTTTTTGTTTTTTGTTTTTTTTCGAGACAGGGTTTCTCTGTGGCTTTGGAGGCTGTCCTGGAACTCGCTTGGTAGTCCAGGCTGGTCTCGAACTCATAGAGATCCGCCTGCCTCTGCCTCCCGAGTGCTGGGATTAAAGGCGTGCGCCACCAACGCCCGGCTTATTCTTCATATTTTTTAAGCATTAAAAATTTAAAAACACAAACAAACAGGGAGCTGGATAGGTGGCTCTTGGTAAGATCATGCATTAGTCTTCCACAGAACTAAAGTTTCATTCCCAGCAACTATACAGACAGTTTACAACCACCTACAACTCCCACTGCAAAAAATCTGACCCCTCTAGTCTCTGAGAAAACGTGCGGTGTATGGCATATTCTCCACTACACACACAAACACACACACACACACCACACACCACACACACATATCACACATATACCACACACACACACATACACCACACACACACACACACACACACACACACACACATACGCAGGTACATATATATGATTAAAAATAAAATCTTAAAAAACTCATTTTGCGTCTGTCTACTTGGCATGCACATATCAAAAGGTCCTAGGACAATTGGCAGGGACGGTTCTCTCCTTGCACCAGGTAGGAACTGGTAAGTAACTATTGTCAGGTTTGAAGGAGAGTCCCTTCTCCTGCTGAGTCATGCTGCTGACCCTATTCTCAGTGCTGTTTCAAATCTTTGTCTTCTTTTAACTTGCTTAGTGTAGACGAAACGTCAGCCCTACTCCATCTGACCACATACATGACGAACACTTTCGAGTGAGGACGTCTGAGCTTCCCTTCCCTTGTTTCCAATTTGGCTGGGGAGAAAACAAAGTCTTCTTATTAGATTAGACACCCTTTGTGCTTAAGTGCTTGTAGGAATCCAGCTAGTAAACCGTCAGAGAAAAATTAGCATTTCTCAAGACCGAATCTTAGTTCCAGCCAACTTCCCATCAAGGGAAATGAACAGGAATGTAAGCTCACATTTAAACTCTGTCTCTCTGTTCCCAGGATTTCAAGCTTTACTTCATGTGCTTGTTGACACATGAGTCTTCCCTTTTGGATGTCCAAGCAGACTGAAAAACAAATTGCAAAACCTCACCAACACTAAGAAATATTGCATCACTCCACCCTGCCTCAACACTTCCCTCCCACCGTTGGCCCAGGAGATTTCCTCACATCTGAGTGCTTCAGCAGTGGGAACTGGCATTAGCATTGGAGTCCTCTTAGTAGGACTGCCTCCCAAGGATCCTCTTCGGGCTGGAGACACGGACTCTCGGTACATTGTCTCACTCCACCCTAAATAGCACGGAGAGGCAGAACTGACAACTTCTGCTGTCCTTAAAACCATGTTAAGATACCATGTCTTTTATTTTACATGTCTTCCTTCTATGTCAGCAAGCAGTGAAAAAAAGCACTGTTAAGAAAAGATTTCTGCAAAAGGCTAGGTGTCGGCGGTGCACGCCTTTAATCCCAGCACTGAGAGACAGAGGCAGGGGGATCTCTGCGTTTGAGGCCAGTCTGGTGGACAGATTCAGGACAGGCTACACAGAGAAACCCTGTCTCGGGGGAAAAAAACAGTCACAACGCTGTCACCTCCTGCAGCTTTTATAAGAAGAGTGAGTTTAAGGCCATTCTCATTGGTGGAAGCTTCACTATGCAGAAGGGGAGGCCAAAGAGTACCAAAAGAACTTCAGGACAGATTATTTGTGTGGTAGGAATGGATGTGGCCACAAAGATAAAGCTAGTTCACATCAGCCTTTGATATTTCATCACCCTAACCAATCATAATCAACATCCTTTAAGCTAGCTGTTATTACAAACATTTCTAGCTGTAATTATTGTTTTCTATTTCTAGTATGTTGATGTTTGGTACAGTGAAGATAATCAATCAATAACTTTATGGAATGAATGACAATAAAGAGAAAAATTACCACTTAAGGAAAAACAATTTGGTTTTTGTTTTGTTGTGTGTGTAAAAATATCCCTTTTAAAATTAGCTATGTTTAATATCTTTTATTTTGGACCATGCTTTCCCAAAACATTGCTTTTATTCTGTCTCTTCTGGTTAGAGCTAGTAGGGTGAGCGCCTCAGTTTCAGACAGATTTTTAATTGTTTTGTCTTGTGAGACAAGATCTCATGTAGCCCAGGCTTTGAACTCATTGTGACACTGAGGATGACCTTGAACTCCTGATCATCTGGACACCTCTCAGATTCTGTGAGTACAGAACCTATCAGCAGATGTCCATCTGTGATGCCCGAATCAGTGGACACTCAGAACTTCTGCATGAGTACTAAGGTACTTGCATGTCCTGTAGGCACATCCTCCCTTCTGCTCCCGGTTAATTGTCAGAGCCGAGACATGAAACAGTTACTACTGAATATTGTTTGGAGCATAATAATGAGGGTAAATTTCTGCACATATTCAGTACAGATACATTTCGTGATGTCTTGGTTTGGTTGAGTTTGAAAGCAGAGTCTGTGGTGCAGAGGGAGGACCATTTGTGCCTTTCAGCCAGTGTACTCTTCCCAGAACGCTTGTTGACAGCAAGAGCGTGAAAGCTCTTTGTTGCTGAAGGGTGAGAAGACTGGCAGCCATTGTTTCTCATGGGTGACTGCGATGTGTGGTACTGAAGCAGGCCTTTATCTCCAGCTCGCTCCTCTTTATCCATCTGGAAAGAGGAAAAACAATACTCACTGGTCTGGTATGGAAGCGACTGCCAAGAACCTTGTGATCTGCACAGAGAAGGTGACACCAGTTGCTACATCTTACAGATGTTTCCCTGTGACTAATAGGTGCTCAGTTCTTTTGGAGATGCTAATCAAGAAAAACAAAAGCAAAAATAGATTTATAGGTTTTAGTAATATGTACACATTTCTTCAATGTGTTAGCAAACCTCTTTTAGCCTGAAGTTTCAGACCTCAGGTTTCTTTAATCCATTGTCTCTTGACCAGGGTGTGTCACACTCCTCTGTGGAATCTACAGTTTCCCTGGCTTCTCCTTATTTTCCGTGGTACCAAACAAGCCATTGTGTCCAAGTTTTTCTTTTTCTTTTTTTTTTAATAAAAAAACAAGGTAAGTAGAAGGGAATAAGAGGAAGGGGAAGTAGAGGAGAAGGAGGGAGGGATTGAGAGTTGGAGGGGAGGGAGAAGGAAGGGGTGTTGAGGACCAGCCAGTAAGCACAGCATCAGAAACGAAGTCTTCATGTAGTATCATCTTCTGAAATGGTATTAGGTCTTCAAGTTATTAAAGACATGCCTCAATGTAACTTTCTCTGCATGGCATTGTGATAGGCACTTCCAAGGTTTCCTGGGACATTTTATAGTCTATAACCATTCCCCATTCCATTTCCTATCTAATCTATAAGGCACCCTCAGATTAGTCTTGTTGGAAATAAATTCAAGCCCTTGGACATTTTCAAAGAACCATCAGTGTTGGTCTGCATCATGTTAGAGCATGGATCCTTTGGTATGGTTCTGGATTAAAAAACAAACAAAACTTTGTTTTCCTTTCTGCCATTTTCCTGGATGTGAACTCCTAGAGGTGGGAGTCAATACAGGAAAGGAAGTCAGCAGACTTGTTTCTTCAAAAGTACCAACAAATAAGTGTCTCTGTCATCAGTGTGCTTTGACCGGTGGCTGCTGACCTCTGGCTTTTCTTGTATCTATTATTCTTCACCGCCTGAGGTGATTTGAGAGGGCTGGGTAGAAGCAAGCACTCGCGTTCTGCTTTATTTTGTTGGGCAGGGTCTCCAGCCATAGTCCAGGCTATCCCGGAACTCAGCACATAGGTGAAATGGCCTTGAACTGCCCAGGAATCCCATGTCTCAGCTGCATAAGCACTAGGCTTGCAGGCCCAAGGCACCGCGCCCTACAGAAGTCTGCTTTTCTAACAAGTAGAAACTTGGGCAGTGGAACTTGGAGAAAAACCCTTCATGATTTCCACTTTAAAGCCTGCTCCTTCACACAGAGAGGGAGAACAGGGAAATAATTATGTTGATTGAGGGAACCATTATGGGATTAGTGAGAGACTTGGAACTAGGGAAATTCCCAGGAATCCGCAAGGATGATCCCAGGTAAGCCTTAAAGCAATAGTGGAGAAGGTACTGCCCTTCCCCTGGAATCAGATTGATGGCTCCCTGATTGTCATCATAGAACCTCCATCCAGTAACTGATGGAAGCAGATGCAGAGGTCCACAGCTAAGCACTGGGCAGAGCTCCTGGAGTCCAGCTGAAGAGAGGGAAGAGTGATAAAATGAGCAAAGGGATCAAGACCCCGATGGGGAAACCCACAGAAACAGCCGATCCGAGCTAATGGGAGCCCACGGATTCTTGACTGACAGCTGGGGAACCTGAATAGGACCAAACTAGGCCCCCTGAATGCAGGTGACGGTGAGTGGCTTGGACAGTTTGTGTGGCCACTGACAGTGAGACCAGGATGGATCCCTAGTGCGTGAGCTGGGTTTTGGGAACCCATTTCCTCTAGAGAGATACCTTGCTCAGCCTAGCACAGGGAGGGAGGGAGGGCCTTGTCCTGCCTCAGCAAGGTGATGAAGAAAAGACTCCGTTGACTCCCTATGGGAGGCCTTGCTCTTGATGAGGCGTGCAGGGGCTGGGTAGGGGAAGGTGGGGCAAGTAGGAGGAGGGAAGAGAGGGGTAACTGGGATTAGTATATAAGAAAATAATAAAATAATAAAATAATAAAAAGAAATCTGCTCCTTCAGCAGGAGGGGACAGAAAAAGTTGATAAAATGACATTTCTTTCTGTCAGTTGATGTTGTGGGCTCTCTGAGTAGAGTGTCTCCTTACGGCCTCGTCAACTCTCCCAAACACACAGGAGATCACGAACCTTGAGATGGGAGGGTGGCTAGGTTCACCTGTGGTCTTGCGCAAACCATTCACTCTCCTACCTCTTCCTACAGCTCAGTTGCAACTTCTGTATTCCTACAGGTACGCTGCAGTGGGCCTTCCCAAATTTCAGCCTGCGCGTTGAGCCTGTGTAGCTGGCAGTGTGGTTCCAGTATTGTCCAGCCTCTGGAGTAAACTCTAATTCATCTGAGTTACGGGTGACAATGCTAATCCTCAAGACTCAGGGAGACAAGCCCCGCCACCCCGTAACTACTGCTGTGGACATAAGCAACTGACCAAAGTCAGGCTAGCAAAAAGGAGTTCTTTCCACTGTGTGTAGAGGGATTGCTACAGCATTGCCTACACTGAAGCGGAAACAGTGACCTGCTGGCAGCCACACTACAGACAGGATTCGCATTAGGAAGTACCCAACACTGAGTTTCAAGACAGCAAAGAGTGCTGGGAACCTTGGGTCTCTGTGGTGTCACTGATCTGCCGTTTCTCCAGACTTCTGGTAACATGTGCCAATAAATGGCCTACTGCAGCCAAAATGGCAGCTCACACCTTTAATCCAAGGACTTGGGAAGTTGATGCCCGAGGATTTCCAGGAGTTTCAGGCCAGATGCATCGCAAAGCCCTGTTTCAAAAAGACAAACAAACATAACTAAACCAACTAAAGGGCTGCAGACAGTAAAGTAAGTGTGGTACATGAGCGAGGACCTCAGGCTGAGGTACAGCACCCACATGAAAGGTTGCACATTTGCCCAGAGCTGGGAGGCGGAGACGGGGCATCCCTAGGGCTTGCCTAGCCTGACAATGGAGCCCCAGGTCCTACCCAGAAATCCTGTCTGAGAAAACAAGAGAGATGTCTCCAGAGGACCCATGCCTGGGGTTGACCTCTGACCTTCACAAGTATGCACACAAGCATGCACATCCATGAGTACACACACACACACACACACAGAGAGAAAGAGACACACACACACACACACACTCATACAGGGCTTTGCACCTAATTCACCAAATGTCAACTAATATCAGAAAAGTTACTAGGCCCACATACCAAACATTCAGTGATGAGTGATTAGATCAGCCTATTCAGACATTCTCTCTTCTTTACCAAGAGCACAAAAGACCTTAAATGCCATTAGTGTCTGACTGAATGGGCCTTTGAAAGTGCCCTTCTCCCGGGCAGATGAGAGAAACCACACAAAGTGAGTAACACTGTTAATGAGGGGGACTTGGCTGCCACTGTCTTGGGATCTAGGGAATTATGGAAAACAGAGTGGGCTAACCTTTAGGAAGCAAAGTAGCAAACATCCAGCAGGTGTGAGTCAATAGCTGAAGAAACCTCCCAAAGCGTCACTGCACGGCTGGGCTTCACCCAACCTTGGTGGTCAAGGTACTAGATATGGATGTCTGTTCTTTTTGCTATCCAGCAAAACACCCTTTCCTCCAGGGCACTGCTGTCCTCAGCATCCTCCAGGCACTGCTACCCACTGCATCCTCCAGGGCACTGCTACCCACTGCATCCTCCAGGCACTGCTACCCACTGCATCCTTCAGGCACTGCTGTCCTCTGCATCCTCCAGGGCACTGCTGTCCTCTGCATCCTCCAGGGCACTGCTACCCACTGTATCCTGCAGGCACCGCTGTCCTCTGCATCCTCCAGGGCACTGTTACCCACTGCATCCTCCAGGCAATGCTGTCCTCTGCATCCTCCAGGGCACTGCTACCCACTGCATCCTCCAGGCACTGCTGTCCTCAGCATCCTCCAGGCACTGCTGTCCTCAGCATCCTCCAGGCACTGCTGTCCTCTGCATCCTCCAGGGCATTGCTGTCCTCAGCATCCTCCAGGCACTGCTGTCCTCAGCATCCTCCAGGCACTGCTGTCCTCTGCATCCTCCAGGGCATTGCTGTCCTCAGCATCCTCCAGGCACTGCTACCCACTGCATCCTCCAGGCACTGCTGTCCTCAGCATCCTCCAGGCACTGCTGTCCTCAGCATCCTCCAGGCACTGCTGTCCTCTGCATCCTCCAGGCACTGCTGTCCTCAGCATCCTCCAGGGCACTGCTAACCTCAGCATCCTTCCGGGCACTGCTACCTACTGCATCCTCCAGGCAATGCTACCCACTGCATCCTCCAGGCACTGCTACCCACTGCACTAAACTTGTGATTCTCTTCAGATTGCCAAAAATATTTACTTCCTTTTTTATTCTCTAGGTCAATACAAAATCATTGTTTCTTTAATAAATACAGTCATTGCTTTTCCCCAAACATTACAATTTTCAAAGTGCTAATGAAAGAAAAGTAGAGAGTAGGGCTTAGTAGCTCATGCCTGTAACCCTAACATTAGGAAGATGACACAGGAGGATTGCTGTGAGTCTAAGGCCATTAGCCAGGCAGAAAGCATAGGCTGGACTACCAGACAAGGAGAAGGTTGGGGAGAGGAAGGCAGAGAAAGACGCCATTCTGTCAAAGGAGTAACAGCCAGATTACAGGTAAGCCATAGCATCATGGTAATACATGGATTAATAGAAATGGGTTAATAATTAAAACAGAGCTAGCCAATACGAAGCCCAAGATATCGGCCAAACATTATATACTTGATATAAGTCTTTGTGTGTTTATTTGGGGCAAAGCGGCTGTGGGACCAGGCTGGACAGAAACCTCCATCCTCAGTTGTCTTCAATGACTAGTTTCAAGACAGTGTTTTTGATAGGGTCTAGGGATACATGGGCCATCACTTCAGAGAAGAATGCATGAAAATCATCTAGGGATGTAACGAATTGTTCCATCTGAAAGTTTAAAACTCAGCAATTTTGAGGGTAAATGTTAGAAGGAACATATGGGTGTGCACATATGTATCTGAGTGTGTGCCTGTGTGTGTATATCTCTGTATGTGTCTATGGGTATCTGTGTGTGTGTGTGTGTCCCTATATATCTGTGTGTCTCTGTCTATCTGTGTATGTATCTATGGCTGTTTGTATCTCTATATGTGTATCTATGGATCTTTGTTAGTGTGTCTGTAGATATCCGTGTCTCTATGAGTGTCTGTGTGTATCTCTTTGTGTATCTGTATGTGTATGTTTCTCTGTGTATTTCTCTCTGTGTATGTCATCTCTGTGTTTCTGTGTGTGTTTCTCTCTGTGTGTGTATCTCTGTGTCTCTTTGTGTATCTGTATGCATCTGTATGTTTCTCTGTGTGTGCTATCTCTGTGTTTCTGTGTGTGTTTCTCTCTGTGTGTGTATCTCTGTGTGTATGTGTGTGTCTGTGCGTTTCCATGTGTGTGTTTTTCTCTCTGTGTGTGTATCTCTGCATGTGTGTTTACGTGCACACGCGTGTGTATATGTGAATTTAAATGTGTTGGTGGGGATTTGTATCATTGTCTCATTCTTGGCACCCACTCAGTAGTCAGGAAAACCAGATTGAAAATTTGGAATCTGTGCCGGCATGGATTGAAACTGGCCTCCAGTCACTAAGGAAAAATCAAAACAAAACACACAAGAATTTAGAGAGGACATTTTTCCTGCCAAAGAGTAATTTTTCCTTGATGTTATTTCTTATCCGAGCCAATATTCCAATGGAAAAAATAGGCTGGTCAAGAGTTCAATATAATTTGCTGTGACATCCAACCAAAAGTAACATAATAAAACATTTAGAGGCTAGGGATGTAGTTCAGTAGGTAGAGTACATGTCTAGCAGGGTCGAAGCTCCAGGATCCATCCTAGGTACCATATTAAATCAGGTGTGCTGCTACATGCATGGAATCCTAGTGATTAGATTCAGCCATATAGTGAGTTTAAGGCCAGCTTGGGCTACATGAGAACTCCTTAAAAATTAATGACAGAAAATTGTATTCTTTCTGGATTATATGTTTGTGACTATTTCATAAGAATTGTTTAAAATAAAAACATAGAAAATAGAATAATCTAATGGGTTTTTTGTTATTTGGAGAGTTAACTCTAAGGTTTATTAAATAAATAATAGTTATCAAAATTTACTATATGTCAGGTTGTGTCCTAGATACAGATCCTTGGAGTGATTAATTAAAACACAAGCTAACAAAATTGCACGTACAGCTGAAAGTTTCAGTATTGTCAGGCTTCTAAGATTATTGCAAACCAATTTATCTTCCTGTATCCTTGCCATGAATACTTAATAAAGAGTGTTTAGAATGCCTGGATTTTGAAAGCACAAGTTAAAACGTGGTCTGTTGAGTCAAATGATGTGACTGACAGGTGAAGAGAAGCAGAGAGTATCAGTGTTAAACTGGCTTGAGAAGACAGAGGGTTGGGTCCTCTCCTTCGTATCAGATGTGCTGAAGCAGCCTTAGGACAAAAAAAAAAAAGACTCACCTGATGTAGGCCACATATACTTCTGACAATGCCAAATATTATCATTTCACATTTGGAAACATATTACTCACATATATTGAACTGTTAAACACTCTGTATGGAACTTACAATCTTTTTGATGAGGCATTTCAGTTTATGACCATTTTAATGATTTCTATGAGTATTCCAAAGAAAGGCATGAGTTTGCACAGGAGGAGACAGTGTAGTCACAGAATTCCATCATTAAACATGAGGTTATCAGTCAGACCCCGAGGAAATGGCTGGCCTTATTACGCACAAGCCAAGTCACAGGTGATAGATAGCCAAAGTAGGCAGACAGGAGGTAGGTGCCCAGCAGCATCCTGGGTGCTGTTGTACTGAAATCTCGTAGCTGCTGGCTGACATGGGTAAGTTACTCACTGCGTCAGGGGTTTGCAGTTCTTCTTTTACTCAGAGGAGCAGCGAAGGACAGAAGAATGGTCGGTTCTCTGCCATCAGGGAGTCTGGTACATTCTGAAGGGCAGACCTCTTTTACCTGCAGAAGTGATCCCCAGGATTTGCGGTGTTGACAGACACGTAGAACTGCCTTTCTGGAACTTTACTGCATGACAGACCATGTATTTCCTGGGGCACTGTGGAATCTCTATACCCACCTGAGATCCAACAACAAAAACCTTTAGTCTATTTGCAGCTGACATTATGGAATCCAACTCTGTATACTGTATGGTCCCGCACACCACTCTGTGTCCTGTGTTCTCCCCTACGCAGCAGAGGACACGGCAACTTCTGAGCACTTGCTCAAAACACGGGAACAAATGAGAACAAATCAGTGTTGCTTCACTGATGAGAGGCTTCCCGTGAAGCCTTGTGGACCTAGGGCCATCCTACACCGCCCAAGCTGCCAGCAGGAAACACCGAGCCATTGTACATTCAGATCTTTTAGAGTGGTCATCCAGAATACATACCTTGCAAAAAGTTAGGGAAATTCAGGTTGAGTAATGATTCAGAGGTTTGCAAATAACACACGCTCATTTTTATGTTGCTAAAGCCTCCTTGCTAGGAAACGAAACACATGTAATTCAATATGCAATGTTCTCAAGAGTCCCAGGCCAAACCATCTCAAGCTGTGAACGCCTTGGCTCTGGGGAGCTAGGCAGGGGTCAGGGCAGGGCAGGCTCTGGCCTGGTGCCTCCAGAGTAAACCAAACAGCCACAGGAAGCGGTTTCTGTGATTCAGTAGGTGGCACACTTCCTTTTGAGTCAGAACTGAATCACAGCTGTGAGAGGCGAGAAGGGGTTTTTTCTTTATCCCATCTCTCTTCCTAGTCCCAATCATAAAGTTATCAAACTCTGTCAAATGCTGGGTCCTGTTGTTTAGCATATTAAAATGAAAGGGGGACAACTTTTAGAATCAAGGGAAGGGTGGGGAGTACAGCAGACTGAACTGAATCCTGGTGGTGTTCCATCACAGGGCCACCTTCTCAGGGATGTGAAGGAAAATTACCGTAAGGTGTCACTGGGGTCATAAAGGGCCCAGGTTGTCCCAGCTCCTATCTGACCCACTTCCAGTGGGACCATTAGATCACACACTTACATAAACCATGTTACTTAAGACGGCCCTGCTCCACTCGTCACTCGCGGAACCTGGCTTACCCCCTTGTCTGATGGACAGCCGTCCTCAGTACTGTCCCAAGCATGGCCTTCCGTCAGTTCCAGCCGAAACGATCGTGTTCTGAATGTACTGAATGCTGTTGGCAATGTTGTACATTATTCTGAGGCCCGAGGAGAAAACCCCGCAGACATCAACAAGTCATAAAAACAAGCACAGTTCTCTGCCTCTTTCCCTAGTGTATGTCTTATTGTTTAACATCAGAAGTTCTGGGAATGCACACATATTTAACTACGTTTTCATCTGATGACCTTTACTTTAGTATTTCTTTCTTGCTTCTTTCCAAACCAGCTGATTTAGATTGGTAGCATGTTTCTGAACATGACTTCATAGGCCCAGGCTAAATGCCCTAAGTTTGTCTTACTCCTAGAAAACTGATAATCAGGCTGGGATCCGAAATCTTATTATAATGCTAATATATCATGGTTCCTGCTGTGAACCTGTCCAAAAGTTGAAAGATCACATTGATTTGTGTTCAGATTAAAAATAAACAAGCATCAGTGACTGTTTATATAGTCCAATGCTTAGTATATTTATCTGTAGGGCTTTGGCTTCTATCCTCAGTAGGGCAAAGTGTGTGGGGGGGAGGGGTTGTGGAGTTGTGAACCCTTACATAAGTCAGTCTCTCTGAGCCCTCATTTCTTCATTCTATAAAATGTGTTTCTAACACAAGGATGGCATTACTGTGAGAACGGACACTTTCACCTGGTGTCCAGGACAGCTCCTTGCTTATGCTCAGTGTTTGAGATCAGTTTGTGCTCGTTCCCTTTATTTACAACACCTTCCCAGCATTTGGACACACAACATGGGCATGCTGAGTCTCGTCTTGCCCAATGACATCATTTACATCAGCTCCCATAGCAATCCCATCCACAACACCTGCGGCCCATGTGACAGCAAGTGGCATGTTGGACTCCTCAACGGACTGGCGGAGAAGCAAGCCAGGCGGTCTTCCAAGCCAAAGCCAGCTGTCTGGACTGGACAGCATGGCTTATGGATGGCGGGCAAATGCGAAGAGTCCTCATCTGACACACGGGAGGGAGAGCCAGAGGAGCGGCGGGGGCAGGGCCAGCAGCAGCAGCACTCACAGTGGACAGACTGGCAACGAGTGCCCAGGTCAAACCAGGTAAAGGCTGGCAGACGAGGAGAAATGCTCAGCTCCGTTAGATACGAAAAGCCCTTCAGAATCTCCCGTTCTCCTTTCATGCCTCCTGAGTCTGCAATTGCTCCAGGAGGGCACTCATTCTCAGAGAGCAGTGTGCGCAGTAGGGCTCCTCCCCTCTGCTCCTCCAGGATGCAGGTCTAGAGCATTGTTGACACCACTGTGTGCTCACCTGTATCAGAACCAGAACATCGTGTACTGTGGTTGGCTGACTGTAGTCTTCACTAGACTGTGAGCTCCTAAGCACAAGGAATCTCTCCCAAATGCTGAAGTTACAGACAAGTGCCAGCATGCCTGGAAAGGTCTCTGTCTTATTTGTCTTCTAACTACCTCTGGTCTGTACCTCTCTGTGCATCTCCCACAGTGGGTGTTCAAACAATGTTTGCTGACATTGAAGACATTAAAAAAAAAGTCAGAAAAGAACATTGTTACCATGAGAAAATTTGGAAGAGGAATTTGGGACCTCAGGTGCTAAAGTCCCTGAGTGTTAGCTGGACAGGCTCCCTCAGAGTAAAGGAGCCCAGAGTCTGAAGCCACTGGGACCGTATGGCGCAAAGAGGAACAGAACAGCTCTGGCACAGGCTAGCCCAGCTGACAGTGTTGGCGCGGGCTGTCTGAGGTGACGTCTGGCATTGTCTAAGTGGAGTGTGCCGTCTCCTGAAAGCTCACAGAGCAGAGTGACTCAGCAATCAGAAGATGGGACATTTCTGCACAGCTACCCTGTGTAAGTGGTGAATCACATTGCCCTGGGTGTCTGCAAATCAGAGTGGTCGTCTCCATGCTTTCTTGTCAGGCTATCACCGGGGGTGCCAAGCCACACTTTACTGATCTAGGGACAGATCGAATTTGCTTGCCAGGCATGACCGCATCCTGCAAATGCGGGCACTCACTCTGAGATAGTTCTATCAAAAGGCCCTGTTTGTGACAGGGAGACTGAAGTGTCCAGACTATGAGTGGTGAGTCCTGCGGTGTGCGCTGTGTCTGCCTTCGTAGTGTGTGCCACCTTCCCTCGCTCTCCTTGTGATAATGGCTCGCTGCCACTTACTTGGGAGCACTTTGTCCCTGGCAGATAGACTGTAGCAAGACAAATCTTTAAGAGCCAGGTCTGGTAGGAAATCCTATCTACTAGCTATTTCCTGGAAATTGCAGAAGTTTAGTAATTTGCTTTCATCTGGGCCACAGAAGAGAATAGTCTGTAGACCTGTGGGACAAACGCCAGCCATCTTTCAAGTAGACCCCAGGAGAGTTCACACAGAAGATCAGAGACTTTTCTACAAGAAGTGGATTTGGAGACTGGGTGTGTGAAATAGACTAACTGAAGTTTCATCATAGCTCTAAATGTCAAATGTGCTTTAACAGGTCTGCAGGATGGTCTAAGTTTCACATTCTACTTTTTTTTGACATGCAGCTGAGATTAAGGAAGTAACTAGCACTGTCTCCCACAGCTCTGTTTGTCACCACCAATACAATCCTTCATCAGTAAGTCTCAGGCCATCAAGGACCCAGAGTTCCTGTGGGATGTCTTATGTACAGTGCTGAATATGCTTCACGTTACTTCTCTCTCTCTCTCTCTTCATTTGTACACACACACACACACACACACACACACACACACACGGGGGTTTTGCTCACCTCTGTGAGGGTGTGGAGGCTAGGGGTCAATATCGGGTATCTGTTTTTGCTCCCCACCTTATTTTTTGAGACTTCTCTCACCAAAACTGGAGGTCGCTCTGAGCAAGGCTTGCTGACCAGGCTCCTGGTCATAGATGCAAGCCACACCCCTGGGCGTTATATGAGTGCTGGGGATTCCCACAGAGGTCTCCATTCTTGTGCAGCTCTTTATCCAGTGATTCAGTGACTCATCTTTGTAGCTCTTTGTTTCGCTTTCTTTGGAGACAGCGCATCACGATGTAACCCAGACTGGCAAGCCTTCTGCCTCAGCCCTGAGATTACAGGTATGAGCCATGCGCTTGGCTGTCTCTGAAAGAGGAATTCCAACCTACAAACCCTGCACATTCTACTTAAGGAACTGTGGCCCCGCCCTTATTTTTCTTGTTGACCTCATTATCACATGCAATATTAGTTTCTTTTGGCATGCAGTGTTCATTTTAAGAAATAAAAATACCATTTTAAGAAATGCTATTTTGCTTGAGATAAAAATTTGTGTAACAGAAACAGAGACAGAAAATGTCCTGCTCAGCCGGGCGTTGGTGGCGCATGCCTTTAATCCCAGCACTTGGGAGGCAGAGGCAGGAGGATCTCTGTGAGTTCGAGACCAGCCTGGTCTACAAAAGCTAGTTCCAGGACAGCCTCCAATGCCACAGAGAAACCCTGTCTCGAAAAACCAAAAAAAAAAAAAAAAAAAAAAAAAGTCCTGCTCACAGATCTGCTTCCCGTTTAAATTTTTTGTTTTAAGTTATGGTGTAATCGTAAGTCCTAAGGATACCATTTTGGACCGCCCATAATAGTTTAAGAAAAACAGTGAGACAACCAGGCGTGGTGACACACACCTGTGATAGCACTGTAGAGGCTGAGGAAGGTAGGAAGCTGGCAGGGAGGGGGGGGAGGACAAAGGGGACAAGCAGAATCTGTTTCCATGGTTTCCTGTGGATACTTCAGACTATGAAGAGCAGGCGAGGCGGCTCTACCTCTAACAGTGCTTCCTACCCGTTCTGATGTCCTGGGTTCCTGGGACCCATATGGCGGAAGGAGGGGACCCTGCACCCTGCAGCGTGCCCCTCCAATCCCATGTCCACGCAGTGCCACACTCATGCACATGTGCTCACACAACAGAAAACAGATGAGTAAATAAATGTAAAAGAAATAAGCAAGCAATTAGGCACCCAGAAGAAACCCTGAGATATCCACAGTCTCAGCCCTGGAAGAACTCAGGCTAACACTTAGGATACATGATTATCACATCTAAGAACACACTATCTCATTACTTTTACTAGTTGTTAATAAGATGATTTGCTTCTTTTCGTAACAAGGCAGCTGCTAGGGTGCCATTTTATGACTTTATCATAATGTATTTCAGCAATGTTTACTGTTTTGTTATTGTAGTTTTTGTTTTTCTGGCATGAGTTGTTTGGAGAGGGGTTATGAGAAGTCGAGAATTCTCTTAGGTTAATAACAAAGGGGTTTATACACTGCCTAAAACCAAAGGGCAAGAAGAAGAGAGCCATTGAAACGTTGAGAAAATGCCCAACAGAAGCTCCTCTGAAAGGACCTTTTCTCAAAAGAAGTGACCTTCCTAAGAGCTCATCACAGATGAACAAGCGGGAGGGTGGGGCATACACCTGCTCCTATAGCCCTCTGTGTTTCTGGGGGACAAAAAAAAAAAAAGACAACAAGCTTAGCCTTTCTGAATTTGTTTGAAACATATAGCTACCTGTTCTAATCTGAGACTTTGATCACTTCTTCATTTCACAAATAGTCCAACAGAGCTTGCTACATTTTTTATACAAAGCTACATATTTCCCTCTATATACATACATCTCTCTCCTACATGGCAAAACACATTATTTGTGGGCTGGTGGTCCAAAGATAGTCCGACAAGAAAGTTTACCAAATGGTGTGCCTTTCCTAAGGAGGATTGTAGGGTATGAGCTGAGGCGAATAGACAAGCTAACCCTGCCACTGATGGTAACTTTTTCTTTTATTTGGTTTCAACTCCAGAAAAATAATTGAATTGGAGAATATATTCTTAATATATGAAAGAAATGATTGTATCTGGGATATATAATTGATTACTATTCATCAATAAAAGGAAAAGTGGGAATATTGGTGAAAATGGATAAGGTATTTTTTCTTGTAATTCATGCAAATAAAGAGATTCCTGAATCTAGTTTGAACTGTTTATTTTCTGTCTTACAGAACTTCTCTACACGATGTAAGGCTTTAATATCAGGGAAACTGTTCCACAATGAGGACTGATTCAAGATGGAATTAAGGATGGAGTGCCCAGGGAAAGACTCTAGCCAGCTAAACTCAGACTTGTAAAAGGAAAAGTCTGAGAAATTTCTTGCACCTACAAAACAACCACAATGGAAAAATTAGGAAAAAGTGATTCAGTAAGGCCATGCTTCACCCCAAGCTAGCAGTTGGATGTAGCAGTGTCATCCACAGAGTTATGGCTTTAGAGTCATGAAAGATGTGTGAGAAGAGGCTGGGAATTCTTCCTATGTGGTTAAGGAGATCCACTGACACTCCAAGTATTGTGGAATATTGGTTGGAGATGTGTTATATTCATTTATGCTGTGGAATACTTGTTTACTGTTGCAATGATGTGTTGCATTCTTTTACGTTGTTTAACTCTGTGAAGCTGTGTTAACTTGCCTGTATAAAGCACCTGATTATCTAATAAAGAGATGAATGTCCAATAGCTAGGCAGGATAGAGGATATGAGGGGCTGGTAGGCAGTGAGAATAAATAGGAGGAGAAATCTACAGCCAACAACATATACTGGGCAATAGCTCTATTTGGGGTGCTTTTCTAAGCACTGGTAGATTAAAGAAGAAAGGCAAAGACCCTGCCTTAGGGAATTTAAGCTACATAGACAGAATTACTCAACAAACAACGTCATTTCAGGGTGTGCGGTGCTTTGAGTGAGAAACGTCCCCAGAGGTTATGATGTTTGGGCTCTTGTTTAGCAGCGCTGCTAGACGAGGTTTAGGCAGACAGCTTTGCTGAAGGAAGCACCGCATTGGGCCAGGTTTCGAGATTACTTAGCCTCATCCTGCTTTCAATCCATTCTCGACGCTTCACGCTTCAGTTTGAGTACATGAGCCCTCAGGTTCCTGTCCCTGCTGCCATGCTCGCTGCTTGCGGCTGTGCCTTGTCATCTTGGTATGGCCCTTCTCCTATGGAGCCATAAGCCCAAATACACTCTCCCGTAAGTTGCCTTGGTCATGCTGTTTTACAGCAGCAGATGAAGACAGACTGCAAAGCGTATGTGGAAGAAGATTAAAACAGCATGCATGACTTAGCGGTTTTATTGCTGTGAAGATACACCATGATCACGGCAACTCTTATAAATGAAAACAATTAATTGGGGTGGCTGGCTTACAGTTTCTGAAGTTCAGTCCATTGTCATCATGGCGGGGAGTATGGTGGCATGCAGGCAGACGTGGTGCTGGAATAGTAGCCGAGAGTCCTAATCTTGCAGGCAACAGAAAGTTGATTGAGACACTAGGCAGTATCCTGAGCATAGGAAACCTCAAAGCCTGCCCCCATAGTGACACACTTCTAAAAAGGCCATACCCCCTCCAGCAAAGCCACACCCTAATAGTACCACTTCTTTTGAGATTATGGGGGCCAGTTACATCCAAACTGCCATAATGCATATGTCCTTATAACAAAGTGTGGGGGTATACATGGTCTGGGAATCCAATGTTATCATAGGAAAAACCTGTTTCTAAAACTCACAATTTTATTTCTAGGAACTCTGATTGTGAACAAGTCTAAAGAGAAATTTTAAAAATATCCATAATTCCAGGCATTTAAAGAAACCTTTTGCCTTTACCTTTCTAGTTTTTGTCTCATACTTACCTGGCTGAAGAACACGCTAGTTTTAAACATTCTAGGAGTGATCTCTCATTCTGCCCATGTAAATAGCAGTAGTCACAGAATTTCGAGGTCTGTCCACCCAGTGAGAAGAATTTCTTCTCACAAAAGCAAGGCCGTGTTCTGTGTGCCAGTAGTTAACAAAAGATTTCTGAACGCTTCAGTCTCCACTAATTTGGTTAAAAGCATTCCCTCTCCCTTCTAAAATAGCTACGTGACGTACACACAGGCTTGTATTTTAATTAAAGTGGGTTAAAAATTCATTCCCATGGGTGGAAATATTTGCAAAATGCTAGAGATCATCGGAGAAACCACAGAAGACCACAGGGCAGGCACCAGGAATTACAGTGTGGAAATGAACACCACCAATAGGAAAAACCTTGCTATACTCTTGAAGGCTATCCTGGTGCATCTAAAGAAAGGGTGGGGGCAGCCCCAAACCACAGTAAATTCCATCTCTGTCAGACCACTAAATAACACCTTTCTGCTCCGTGAATCTGCAAAATCAGGAGTCTTTTGACACGACTTTTCCTGTTATAGCCTAAACCCACTGCCTCAGCAAGTCCTGTTGGCTCTGTCCTCAAATTAAACCCTGACTCTCAGCTCTCTCTCACCGCCTGATGATCACCCATGCTCACAGCGCCATCCTCTCTCACCTGGGTTCTTATCTGGACTCGCGGCACCGATGTTCTCCTTCTCCTTCTTCAGTTTTTCATGACAGGCTTCTCTGTGTAACAGCCCTGGCTGTCCTGGAACTCACCTTGTAGACCAGGCTGGTCTCAAATTCCCAGAGATCCGTCTGCCTCTGCATCCCGAGTGATGGAATTAAAGAGACTGACTTGCCGCCTACTGCCCTAAAACGGCTTGAGTGATACGAAGGAGAAACTGCAGTCAACCTTCCCAAGTCTCAGGTGCCCAGGCCAGCCTGCACGAGCATTTGCAGCAGGCGCTTCCTCCCTGAGCCAAGCCTGCCTCTATTTCCAGAGACTGCTGACAAAGAGATACCTGACCCAGAGACACCAATGAGAAAGGGACAATGCAGCAGAGTCAGCCACCAGAGCTGATGATGGGACCTTGGGAGGGGGTACGAAGGCAGGCCTGACTTCCTTAATCAAGGAGTTTGCAGCAAGCTCTGCTGCTCACTGACTCCCAGTGCCTGAGTCACTGGTGCCTCCTCATCCCCCCACCAAGGAGTGCCGAAGCAGGGTCACCCACAACAGTGATGGGATTAAAGGCGTGCACAACCATGCCTGGCTTATTACCAAAGATTCTAACTAGCCTTTGTTTTCTGGTTTCTTTTGGTTCAGAGCTGCAGAGATTCCAGCCCATGGTCAGTCAGCCTTGTTGGCTTAGGCCTGTGATGAGGCCAAGTATCAGTGATGTAGGGAATCTCACTTCATGGCAAGTAGAAAGCAGAGTTGAGAAAGGGTCAAGTTCCCATGATCCTTCTCTTTTTGTTTGCTTGTAGAGACAGCGTTTCTCTGTATGGCTCTGGCTGTACTGGAACTCATTCTGTAGTCCAGGCTGGCCTCCAACTCAGAGATCTGCCTGCCTCTTGCCTCCCTGAGTGCTGGTCTGAAAGGTGTGTGCCCTCAAGCCCATCAGGCCAACTATCATTTTCAACGGTATGTCAGCAGAGATCAAATCCCCCCCCAGGCCTTACCTTCTGAAGGCTCCAGTAATTCCCAGTAACTCTCGGCTGAGCAGTAAACCTTAGCACATTAAGTGTTGCATGGGATGCTTATCAAACTACCACCTGTTCATCCCAGACCTCCCCCCTCCACACGTCATCAAGTGACGTGCTGGCCACATTCTTCCAGCCTCAAATTAGCAAGTCCACTTGGCTGATGACTCTAAAAACGGTGCCTAAGAACCAGACCTGTCTGAGTAACGGGGCCATGTCTTGGCTCCCGTGTCTACTTCTGGATGGTGTGTCTTTCTCGATACAGTCTACAAGCTCTTCCTGCTGTGACCCGATCGTCTGTCCTCTCACACTGTTCCTTTCTTGGGCATGTTGGCCTCCTTGCTGTGCCTTGGGTTCCTCAAGATTGGCCTGCCCTGTGTCCTTCACATGTGTAGTCCCTGTCTGGAGTGTCCTTCCTCTACCCGGCCACACAAGCTGAAACTTCTATCAGATCTGTGTCCCAATGTCACCTTCACCACAAGGATATTCAACCCCGCCTGGGAAAGCAAACCCCGTGAACCCACTTCTAGGGGTTAATCCCTTCACTCATTTTGTTTATCTTTACGCCACCCATCACAACAACAAGTGCACACATATGTGCCCCATGCTCCTCCATGCCCCACATGGGGCAGCGTCTATGCATTCACTGCACCGACAGGAGCATGGTAGTGAGCGCTTCCTGAATAATTCTTGCAACCTGCCAGGCCCTGCTTTGTTTCACAAAAGTTAACTTAGTCAGATCACCTTATCACTCCATATCAACTTGCTAAGGTAGGAACTGTTACCACCTGTGCCCCACAGATAAGCGAACTGAAATGCAGAGAGATTACATAACCTTCCCAAGGTCACAGAGCTAGGCAAGGGGGGGTGAATTAAACACAGACAGGAAGGAGTTCACCTTAAGTGAGAGTTGCTTTGCTCGTGTCCCATCTGCAAGGCGTTCGACTAGAGTTCGACACTCGGTATAAATTAAAGAATTAATACATGATAAAATATGTGCTTCTTACACGTGTCTTGAGGATCAGAAATATTAAGACATATGAGCTTAAATCAGTGCCTTGCCTGTAGTCCAAGCTCAATTAAAGGAGATGGGACCTGCATGCAGCTGCCTTCCAGTTACCTTGGGGTACATTAATGCCACCTCCCTCCTCATAGCAACAAGCAGGTATTAGGGCTGGTTCCAACTCAGTATAGTTTTCAAGCCATGTTCAAATCTACCATCAAATCTGCAATGCTAGGCTCAGCTCGATTAAAGTTTTCACTGTTAAAAACCAAATAATGGAATTTTCCCAACTCTTGCAAAAAATACCAAACAAGTAGGTTGAATTTTTTTCTCTCCTCTGATTTTTTTTTTCAAACATCAGCAATGCAGTCTTATCTGCTGCGTAGAAAAGTGTGTGAGCAAGTAACAAATACTGACAGGAAAAGATGGAAATGGTCTCTGATGGAAACCAGGAAGCAGACGTGTTTTATTTATATTTTTAGGTCTGAGAGGCATGACTTATATCCAACACTGAATATTGTGCAAAAACAAGCAGAGTGGGAGTGTAAACATTTGTATCGCTACCCAGGGATTTGAATCTAGATCCGAACACGTACATGGGTCTTATTTCTCTAAATCAGAATTTCTGGGTTAAAATGAATACATCTGCATTTCGTCACGTAACAATGAATCTCTAGAATTCCACATTGCTCTGCTTCCTGAGTAAGTTCTGAAAACTGTTGAGCTAGGAGGGCGCAAGTGAAAAAAGGCAATCCTCCTGCTGGACACTTCCCAGCGTCTCCCTTGTCACTTACATAGGAGACTTGCGAGGACTGGGGCAGAGCTGTGACTGAGCTCTTCCGGTTACGTCTCACCCACACGCCGTACGTCTCGCCCACATGCCGTACATCTCACCCACACGCTGAAAGCGGTGCAGCCACACGGTTGTTCAAACCCGAAAGACAATATGGAAATTCCCTTTTTTTCTTGTAACCATCATGAAAATAGGGAATTTTGTTTGTTGCTTCATTTGAGTTGGGTTTGTTTTCCAGTTTTTGTTTTTAGGCGTTTTGAGACCAAATCTGGAGCAGAGGCTGGCTCAGATGCTGTTGTAGCTGAGGCTAGCCTTCAAACTTTCAGACATCCTGTGTCTACCTTTTTAGTGCTATAGTTATAGGTGTGTTCCATCAGGTCTGACTGAATTTCTTTGTTTTAATTAGTAAAATCTAAACCAGAAATGCTTGTATTTTAAAAGAAAAATCCATAAACTTTTAATTATCTTACTTTTTTTTTGCAAAGTGATCATCTCAACATAGGAAATGGAAGGTAAGAAAAATGTGTAGCTGAAGAGTAAATACGTAAAAATAACTTGTCATGTGAAGGGCCTAATTATGCTTTTGGAAAGGACAACTGAACTGTAGCTATTTTCATTAGTGGGTAGTGGCTACAAATTCCCACTTTAGTCAGGCTTTGCTGTTCCCCAAGCCACGCCCTTTATGTAAATATTAGTGCGATTTCTACAACCAGCATAAACCGCAGGGATAATAACCAGATCTCCTCCAGCGGTTCCACCGAGCTCCTCCTGGCTGTAATGAATCTTGTTCAGGAGAGATGTGTTCATTTAAAACATTTAAACATTCACTTGGTGCAAGATAGGAGAGCTGCAACACTGTTCTGCAAGGGATGAGGAGACACACAATTACAGTAACTAGGGGAGAAAGACATACCCCAAATCTAAAAAGCAAGACATGACATCCCACCCTGACACACAAAGTTAAAAAAGCTTTTCTCCAGAAACCAAAAGAAACATGAAAATCTTAACACTTGGGATGTCCCCTTCCCTTAATTTCCTTTTCCCTCAGGGTTGGTCTCGTGACACTTCTCTAGTCTGTCATTTGTAATATCACTGAAGAACGATCCTGTCTCTTAGGCTGTGTTGATGGAACCAGTCTGAGCTTGACAACAATGAGATCAGTCTGTCCCCTACAGAAGAGTTCTCACTCACTCTAAGAACCAGGCTGGCACCCATAGGCAAGCACCAACAGACATTACCACTTCTATGTATCAGTGTGGGACCTGTTCTGCCTATCTGCTTTCTACAGCTGATAAGAAAGTTGCACTTAGCATGCTTCAGAAAAACAGACATAAATAGAACCAGGGGTGTGGCTCATTGGTGGAGTGCTTGTTTAACTTACAGCCAACCCTGGTTTTACTCCCCAGCAGGAGCTGAAACCAGAGGAGGAAGGACTAGGTCTTCATCACTTTTCCTGATTCGATAGTAAAATACCCAGCAAGTTAAGGGAGAACGCACTGTTTTCAGCTTACAGCTGCAGAGTCCAGGGTGTCACCATGGGTAAGCACTGAAGGACTGAACTTGAAGCATGCACACTCAGGAAACAGAGTAGCAAAGTCTTGTGCTCACTTTGCTCTTTGTATTCAGTCTGGGACCTTAATCCATGGAAGGATGCCATCCACACAGGGTGAACATTACAACCTCAAATCATCTAACCAAAATAATCTCTTCCAGGAATGGTAGAGGACCATTTTCCAGGTGATCCTAGAGCTCATCGAGTTGACAGCTGAAATCAACCACTATAGTCTCCCTGCTTAAAATGTGGATTAATAGATAAAATGCTGTGATGGGAGATGTCATTCTGTAAATATGTTTCTCTTATTGGTTAATGCATAAAGCACTGTTCGGCCAAAGAGGCAGAATGATAGGTGGGACTAGGAGACCAGGAGGATTCTGAGAAATGTAGGCAGAATCAGTTGCCATATAGGATGCTGGAGGAGTAACAGATCCCCGTACCTTTTCCTGGTAAGTTAAGATCACGTGGAAATACTTAGATTAATAGAAATGGGTTAGTAATTATGACTAGCAAATAAGAAGCCCTAGTCATTGGCCAAAAGTTTCATAATTAATATAAGTCTCTGAGTGTTCATTTGGGACTCACACAGCTGTGGGACCAGTCTGGTAGGAAAGAGTTATCATAACAGTGCTGCAAGCAGTCTCATATTGTATTCACAAGCCCCCGCTGCTGCTCTCTGGTATCCTGCTTTATATAAAGACAGTCAGCTTCAGGTCGCACTGTAAACACATACAGTTACTCTATGTGAAATAAAGCAGATATTACCATAGTCTCATTTAGTCAAGTCTAATAAATTTGAGGTTCACGTACCAAACAGCTTGTTTATGCTACCTCAGCTTTGCACGTATGCTAGTCAGCTTTTCTTCATGGTAACAAAATATACGAGGCAATCAGTGTGGTGGCCTGCATGGGGATATCCCCCCAAAGAATTCTTGGTAACCGGTTGGTGTTGCTATTTGAGGAGGGTTAGGAGGTGGGGTGGGCCTGGAGAGTTTTAGCCTCTCCTTACCTCCAGCTAACTCTCTCCACTCTGCGCTTGTAGTGAAGGATGTGATGTCTCATCTTTTTGCTCCTGCTGTGCCTTCCCCACCATAATTAATGGACTCTCTCTCTGAAACCCTAAGTCCAAACAAATTCTTCTGTCAATAGATTGCTTTGATCATGGTATTTTGTCACAGAAACAGAAAAGTAACAAGTGCATCATCATAAAAAAGAAAACAATCAATTTGTGATCACAGTTTCAAAGGATTCAGTCACGTCCATCATCTCTGTTGCCTTGACCTGTAGTGGTGCAAAGAGACAGCCGCAGAGATCTGTTCACCTCTGGCGGCTGAGATCCCCCCCCTTCCAAAGACATACATTTAATAGTTGCTTCCTTCAACTAAGACACTACCTACTAAAGGTTTCACAGCCACTCAAAACAGTCACAGCTGGCTTCTGGCATAGCTCAGTGACAGAATGCTTGCTTACATAGATCTTAAGAGATCTTAGGTTAATTCTCTAGTATTGGGGTTGGTGGTGAGAAGTGATTTCTGGGGCAGGAACTCTGAAACTGAGTTCCAGAAAGCTAGGGCTACACAGAGAAACTCCGTGTCTTGAAAAACCAGGATGATATATATATATATCAGAGAAACATATACACGTAATAATGTACAAGAAAGGCTTAAGTTAATATTTCAAAAAATAAAGTTGAAAACATGTCTTAGTTAGGATTACTACTGCTGTGATGAAACATTATGACCAAAAGCAACTTGGGGAAGAAAGGGTTCATTTCCCTCACAGTTCCCTCTGACAGATCATCAAAAGCAGTGAGGGAAGGAACTCACACAGGGCAGGAACCTGGAGGCAGGAGCTGAGGCAGAGCCCATGGAGGATGCTGCTTGCAGGCTTGTTCCTCATGACTTACTCAGACTGATTTCTTATAGGGCCCAGGACCACCAGCCCAGGGATGCACCACCCGCAATGAGCTGGGCCCTCCCCATCAGTTACTCATCAAGAAAATTCCTTATAACCAGATCTTCTGGAGGCATGTTTTCAACGGGGGTTCCCTCCTCTCAGATGACTCTAGCTGTGTCAAGTTGGCATAAAATTAGCCAGCACAACATATAGTTTAGAATATAATTAAAATGTTCAATGTCAGGCTTGGTGACTCAAATCTGTAATTCCAGTGCCCAGCACCTGGGAAGCTGAGTCAGTAAAGCCAGCCTAGGCATGTAGTAAGACCCTGCCTCAAAACAAAACAAAACAAAACCCAAAAGTAATTGTATTAAGTCGGGAAAGTGTCCTACGTTAGCATATAACTGAAAACATTACAGAGCTTTATAAAATTGTTTTTTATTGTGGTACTGGGCACTGAACCCCAGGCCTTGCACACAGTAGGGAGACTCTCTGCCACTGAGCTACACTGTGGATTTCCATCATAAAGTGAAGTTTTAAACCTAAACTCAGGAATAGTCTCAGGACCATTCAGTCTAAGACTGGCCACAGCTCCCTTCTCTGTGTCTCGTTGACTATATTAATCCAGTTTATTGTAGCAAGCTTTCTTGTTGGACCATCTTTGGAACATCAGCCCACCAAAAATGACTGAAAGCTTGGCCTTAGCTTAGGCTTTTCCCCAAGTAGCTTTTATAACTTATTTAACTCATACTTTTTAAATCTACATCTGCCATGTGGCTTCAATTATTTCTTAGTACAGCACATCTGACTTGCTCTAAATCTGCTGGTGAAATCATACACCTAGACTCCTCCTCCCTGTTTCTCTCTCTCTCTCTCTCTCTCTCTCTCTCTCTCTCTCTCTCTCTCTCTCTCTCTCTCTCTCTCTCTCTCTCTCTTTCTCTTTCTCTCCCCCCCCAGAAGTCTGGCCAATTGTCTCCGGCTTAGCTGTTGGCCATTTAACTTTTTATTGAACCAATAGAAGGTGCCTTAGGCAGAATCACATCTTTATAGTATAAAAGATTTTACAGTGAAGAGTTGAGCATGATAGCAAGTGCTTCAATCCCAGCGCTGGGGAGGCAGAGGCAGGTGGGTCTCAGGAGAGGCAGGTGGATCTCAGAAGAGCACGTGGGTTCTAAGAGGAAGAGGCAGGTAGATCTCTGGGTTCAAAGTATATAGTGAGTTCTAGGCTAACCAGGAAGCCTCTTGAAGAATAAAAAGAAATTTTATGTGAAAAAAAAATAACATAGTCTATCGTCTCGCATCCCTAAGTTTACAGATGAAAATGAGGACGAGACATTTTGGAAGATGTGGGTATAGTCCCGTACAGACACAGGTCTATAGTCAGCACTCAGAAGGATGGCAACTTGAGGCCAGTGTTAGCTATATAACAAAACCCCGCATCAAAACACAAATTCAAACAAAACATCCGACACTTCAAAAAAAAGAAGAAGAAGTTAGTATGCTTTACGAGTGTAGGATTTCTTTACTTCCTACATCTTCACATCCATTGACCACACAGTCCTGTCTATGCTGCAAGAAAGACCTTGCCTGTCTTTGAAGTCCCTTGTCTTTTAGTCTGTCACTAGACTCCTGAAGGGGCTTCCCTGTCTTCCCATAAGTTTTAGTTACTTTCTGGTCACTATGACAAAATACCTGGGCAAACATTTTAGGAAGGAAGCAATGTTTTGTTTTTGCTCACAGTTTTAGGACTTGTCTTTCTCTGTGGTGGAGAAGCAATGGAAGTTGCAATGTGGGGAGGCTGCTCACACTGCATCCGGGATGGAGGAGGGGGGGCGGGAACAGAACAGAAAGGCAGGCTGTTAGCAGTTCAGTGAGTCCATTCTTTTTACTCAGCCCGGGGCTCAGCTGATGCCATTGTGCTAACGCATGCGCATGCGGGGCGGATGGATTGCTTACCCAGCTGTACTAAGGCACGAAGGGCGGATTGTCCCGCCTCATGTGCATCCTCTCGTCATTGTTGTTGTTTCCTTGAGACAGGGTCTCACTAGGCAGCCTGGACAGGCCTGGGATTTGCTATAGAGACCAGGTTAGCCTGGACCTCACACAAATTTTCCTGCTTCTGCCGTTCAAGAGGGCTAGAATTAAAGGCATCGACAAAGTTATGTGACTCTGGGAACACCCTATGCAACTGTCCAGAAGCCTATCTCTTAGGTGGTTCTAAATATAGTCAAATTAGCAATGCAGATTAATCATGGCAACACCTTGAGGTATTGTAATGATCTAAACCAAATCATTTGACTCCCCTTCTTAAAATCCCGAGAGCATTCCAATGTGTTCAGAGGAAAATGTAGACTTTCTTGCATAATCCCATGGCTGTAGCCTCCCCGAGGACTGGCACATTAACTTTCATTCGCTGTGTCCCAGGCACACCTTAGTCTTTCCCATTTCTCTGATGTGCCGAATACTTGCCATTCTCTTGGCCTGGAACAATGCTTCCTATATATTTAAGCCCACCCTAGATGTACTGATCCTTGGACACAAATAGTCACTTTCAACAGTGATGTCATTGTCGTTATCACTCTTTTCTGACACTCTGGAAAGATCTCGATGGTTTATGAAGATCTGTGTTCTCTTTGGAACCAAGCCATGTGTGGTCAGGCAAGGTCAAGACCACGTGACCAATGCCAGCCAATGAGATATAAACGCAATTAAGATGCCGGCAACCGGCCCCTCAGGGCTTTTCATGACACATCCGTCAGTTCCATTCAAGTCTTTGTTCAAGCACCACCCACTCCGAAGCCTCCTCCTCCAGCTTGGCGAGTGTAGGCGAGGCTTTGGTTTTCCCCTTGGGTTGCACTTTTGGCTGTTGAATTCATGCCTCTGTTTGTTTCTTTGCCTGCTATTTTGTATCCCACTAAGAGTATTAAGTTTCATAAGACGAAGGCCTTTCATACTTTGCTGTGTGTTAATCGCCTGTGCCTGGTGTTGTGCATAGCCAGTGCTGCAGAGATGAGTTCAAATTACATGAAAAAAGCCAAAATTAGGAACCTTACACCAATCATGCATAAAATTAGGAACTTTA